TTTCTTTATGGATTTACCTCTTCTGGACATTTTTAAAAAAATATTTTATTGATGTTTCACAGAGAGGAAGGGAGAGAGATAGAGAGTTAGAAACATTGATGGGAGAGAAACATCGATCCGCTGCCTCCTGCACACCTCCCACCGGGGATGTGCCCACAACCCAGGTACATGCCCTTGACTGGAATCGAACCTGGGACCCTTCAGTCCACAGGCCGACGCTCTATCCACTGAGCCAAACCGGTTTTGGCACATTATACTTTAATAGGAGCTATTAATAGTTTGAATGAGATTAAATTATTAAAGAACATAAGATCTCATCAAATGTGTGATATGGATTACATACCTCAAAATATATTGCATAAAATATTATGCCATGTGATTACGCACAAAAAGGATTCTGTGGGCAAGTCTGTTTTATAAACACTGACTATTTCTCACTGGATATTTGAGAAGTGCGTAGTGATATTAAAAATTGGGAGACAATATGCATTGACAATGCCTAAGGAAACTAATACCTCTGAAACCCAGGGTTTTTACTTGGATTGAATTTAGCTTTAAATTCTAGCTCTAGAAATCATAACTCTTTCTCTCTAAACCTGTCAAAGACCTATTCTTTCTTAGGATAATCAGAAACCCCTAAGGCAGCACAACACAGCCTCTCAGAATTGACTGAGGGTCACGAGCTCCGGACCTCTGGCAGGCTAAAGAGAACATCTTGACCTAAGTTAGGTTTCAGCTCCCAAGCCCTAATATGGAACATCCCCTGGCTACTTTCTCATTAAACCAGGCAGAGGGGCATCAGAGAAGACCTCAGAACTGTCTTCAAGACCAGGAGAAAACATTTATTGCCCTTACCTCACTTCCAACCAATCAGCTCCCAGCACAATCTTTAATCTTGAACCCATAGTGTCTTGGGATTTTACCCTATATAATCTTCAACCTCCATGCCATGGAAGAGTACAGTCTTCAGAGCACAAGCTTGCACGCTCTCTAGATTGACTAATTCTCTAACATAACTTTCTATACTGCAAACTACTGTTTGAGCATTTCTTTCAGACAGTGCATACAGGCAGATGGACTCAGATTTTGGGGTTCATTAACACCTGCACAAACGGTATTCTGTATATACACGATGCAAACGTTAAGAAATTTGTGATAATATTTAATTGCAATTTCCTTCATGTAATTTCTACTCATTCTAATATTTGAGGATGTCATCAAGCTTCATTCTTGTTTTTCTTTTTCCCCTTGAAAGTAAATCTTATTTGTACCTCTTATAATTAAAATTCAAATCATCCCATAATCACATCAGTCCTTGAAATGTAATCTAGTTAGCCCATAAAACACTTGAGTTAACAGGTAGGAATAGTGTTTGCCTTCTCTGTCCCCCTTCCCTCCCTCAAAGGCAAGGCTAGAGCTCCATGTACTTTCTTAATGTCCCACCTGCAGGTCTGAGCGATAAACCAGTTAGCTAATGACATTAAGTCTGGTGTGAACTAAAAGTTATCTTCTTTTTAAGGGGAATCCAGATGAGCAAATCAATTTAAGCACAAAGTAATTAAACTCTAATGGTGAGATTAAACTATATTTTAATGATATTATATGGTTTTTTTTTTAAAAAAAGACTTATTTTAAAGCTATATCAAGTCACAACATTGAGAAAGCTTGTGATATAACTGCCCACAAAGGATTATATTCTTTAAATGACTCATTGAGACAGACTCTCTAGATTTCTCTACTTTTTCATAGTTTTGCTTTAGATTTAAAATCCCATGGCCATTTCGGATAGGAAATCGAAAGAGTATGAGAACTTTATAATTATCTACTCTACCTTATTTTTTTTTTCTATAGCGACAAAGATAGGTTCAGAAATATTTAGAAATGTGCACAAGCTCATGCCATTCACTGTGAAGATGTCTTAAATCTAGTTGTCTTGAATCTTAGACACATTTTTGTTCTCTCAACTCCATAAAACCACTATCAGTTGATCTTTGTGGGGATGGGGTGTTGTTTTTAGACGGTAATAAACTTAATCTAAAGTTACATGTTTTAGATTTAGTCCATATTTGGTATGTTCTTCTGTATTGGAGAGCAGTTTATTTTGTTTCACATTTCAAAAGACACATTACCACAATTTATATGTCCTGTGGAAAACAAAATTTGCTAATGATGACATTAGACCTATACAAATTGTCTTTGCAATATGTGTGTATCCTCTTTTTGAAAGTTAATTTCTGTGCAATCACAGATGTAATTGGAACTTACAATTACTAAGCAGGTGTCTACCTTAGTGAGCCATCCAAATTCAATAACATCTAATGGCTATTTGATTGGCATCATCAATACAATATTCCTGCTTAAGCAGAAACCTATATTATGAAGAGCAATTTTAAAAATTAACACAAATTATGTTTTGAGCCAAAGGGTTAATCATTGTCCCTTTTTTCAGAATAGAATTGAATACTTGTTCAGGCAACTGTGAGATAGATTGCTTGGTGCCTGGGTTACTGCGATTAAAACAAAGGCCTTCAGTTTGCAGTGCCATCAGCCTGTACATGTCACTAATACCAAATTCATTTCTTAGAGCAGAGCCATATACCCATCTTCCATTGCAATTACTGCAGAGGAGAGGAGATTGAGAAGTAAAAATGAAGCATTTCAAGGATGAATGGACACTGGAAATTGGTAAAGTGGCAGCAAAGTCCAAGTTTGAAGAATGAAGAAGTGAATGTACATAGAAAAAGCAGTTTGGAAAACATGAGAAAAAATGATACTTTGTAGAAACATCTGTTTGCTGTTGCTGAAAAAAATTAGCATTTAAATGTCCTCATTTGGTTCTGAAGTTAGCACTTCACTGAAGTAGTTCACACCTTTACTCTTGCTCCTGTTCAGCTACAGATCATTTTATGCAAGGCTGATTTTAACAAGAAAATGGTGCATTAATTTACAATGTGTGAAGCATTTTCAAAGTGGCAAAATATAGGCTTTCGTGAAATTTTTATAATCTGAAGAAAATAGAAATACTTATGTAAAGCTCTTTCAAATACCAGAATGACTTCATGCCCAAGAAATTATATCCTTATTAAGACCATTAGAAAATTCAGTTGTTAAATATATCTATATATCAACCTCTAACTAGTGGATTTTCTATAACTCTGCAAAGTCTCTATTAAATAGCGAAGCAGATGTAATCTCAGACATCATTTAACAATACTTTTTAACATGCTTTTCAGCCGATTGCTCTTGCTCTCACTTTTCCTTCCAATTCTGTCTCCTTTCTCTTCTCACATTTCTTCAATTCTTTCTACATTCTTTTATTTCTTTATTTCCTTTGTTCCTTTTTCTCTTCATTGCCTGTCTTTTTTGTCTCTTATCTTTTATAATTTTAAATATTTTATGTTTCTACTAAACAAATAAACTTGGTAATGACAGCTTGTTCACACTCTATCTTCCTCATTGGGGTACTTAATATTTTGCAGTTTTATATTTCTGAAATATTTTAATGTTTTATATGCACTTAAGATAAGCAATGGAGCTATCTGGGAATTATATATGTACCTTGATCTATACATTTGTTGTAATGTCCCCACGAGTGACACACAGGACACAATATCAAATCAATGAGTCATTTAATCAGTAAGGCCGGCGACTGCGAGGGAGAAGCGGCTCCAAATCTCGCAGTGCCCAAATGGCCAAAACATCAGACTGATATAGGCAAATATCTCAAAGCTATTGATTACATCTCGAGGTTTGGAATGAGGATCCTGGCTTGTGAAAAGCAGTTTGTTACAGAAGCTAGATTGAGCAGATTAGTTATCTACAAAGATTAATTATAGTTTCAGTTCTTGTGACCACTGAGTCAAAGGAAACACATTATCTGGAGCCACTGAGGCAATCTAAAGTAATTGTGCTGTCCTGGTTTCCAGTTACAGAGGAATGTGTTTTTTAAAACCAGTATGACCACAATCAATGGGATATTCAAATTACAATCAATGGGGTATTCAATCAAATGGGATGATTTATATAGTTCAGAAAATCAAAATAACTTTTCTATTATTTTAGCAAGTAAATAATTACAGAAGCCAAGCCAGCAGGGTTAAAATATTAAACATTTACCCAAACATGGTTGCTACCATGCTTCACATTTTTTATAAGTAACAAACTAAGAGGCCAAATTAATTCAAATTTAGAGATTCTATTTTATTGTTTAACTAAATGAAGTCTTCTAAATTAAAACCATAAGTATGCAATTGAGTCCTTGTATTTTTTTAAATCCTCACCCAAAGATATGTTTTTTATTTATTTTGAGAGAGAGAGAGATAAAAAAAACATCAATCAGTTGCCTCTTGTACATGCCCCACCCAGGGATCTGACCCATAATCCTGGTATGTGCCTTGACTGGGAATTGAAAAAAAAGAAAAAAATTTTTTTTTGAAGTACAGGATGAAGCTTAAGCCAACTGACTCACCTGGCTGGGGATATTCTTTGTATTTTAATGATAAATGTTTAAGCTGTATGTCCACTTTTGAAAAGTGTCTATTTAGGTCCTTTGCCCATTTTTTTATTGGGTTTTTGTTTCCTTTTGTTAAGTTGTATGAGTTCCCTGTAAATTATGGAGATTAAACCCTTATGGATATAACATTGGCAAATATGTTCTCTCATGCAGTGGGCTCTCTTGTTGTTTTCTTGATGGTTTCATTTGTTGTGAAGAAATAGACACTTTTTAAAAGTAAATATACAGAAAGCCAAGAGACATATGAAAACATGTTCAAAGTCCCTAATCAGCCGAGAGATGCAAGTCAAAATGACAATGAGCTACCATCTCCTACCTGTCAGAATGGCTATCATCAACAAATCAACAAACGACAAGTGCTGATGAGGATGTGAAGAAAAAGCAACCCTCATGCACTGCTGGTGGGAATACAAACTGGTGCAGCCACTGTGGAAAACAGTATGGAGTTTCCTCAAAAAGTTCAAAATGGAACTCGCTTTCAACCCAGTAATTCCACTTCTAGGAGTATATTGCAAAAAATCAGAAACACCAATCAGAAAGGACATAGTACAGGACCTGGGGAACATTATGCTAAGTGAAATAAGCCAGTCAGAGAAAGATAAATATCACATGATTCCACTCATTTGTGATCTATATGGGACAACATAAACTGATGAACAAAAATAGATCCAGAGACATAGAAGCATCGAACAGAACATTAAACCTGAGAGGGAAGATGTGGGGGACAGAGGGAGGGGGGGTGGATAAGAGATCAACCGAAGGACTTTTATCCATGCATATGAGCATGACCAATGGACACAGAGAATAGGAAGGCGGGGGCAGGAGTATCCAGGGAAAGGTCAATGGGGGGAAAGGAGATATATGTAAAACTTTCAACAATAAAGTATTGAAAAAAAGAAAAAAAATATTGAAGCTGTAAAAGAACATTATTCTAAAACATTTAGTTATTCCTTCATCCAAAGTATCTTGAAATTGAGTATCCAAATGGAAAAGAATAGAAATAGTACTTTGCTTATTTTATAGAATAAAATCAGAATATGTAGTAGAACACAGAGACCTTGTTTGTTTTGCATATTTGCAGTTACATCAGCCCTCAAAGTATAATGGCCCAGGAAGAAAAACTAAGTGGGAGACATTCTTACTCTTCTTTGATATTTTTTTACAGGAAAATTCAAGTAAAAAAAAGTGTTAATATAGGAAAAATAGGAGTAAAAATAGCAAAAATATTCTCTAATGATAACATAAACTCATGGGTGGTGGTTAAAACATAAAGGAAAACACAATTATTGCTGATCATGTATGTTATAAAGCACATTATGTGCTGTATTAAACCTAGTTGCTCTAACACTACTAGTAATTGCTGGTCAAAATCTCTATCCCTTGAATTACTGTGAACCCAGGAATGAAGAAAGGGCCAAGGGCCATGCTGTATCACAGGGGAATCATATCTATATATATAAAGAGCCAGGAACCGCAACGACCAAAGGCTCCCCCTAACACCAGAAGTCATTGCTGGGTTGCAGTGGCGACTCAGCACTGACTGCAGCCGGTGCCAGGGCAGCGACCCAGCACTGACTGCTGAGGGGGCTGTGGATTAAGCCCAGAGAGAGGCCTGGAGAGAGAGGCAGGGTCTGATCTCCAGCCTCAGTTGCAGCTGTTGATCAGCGTTGCCTTTCTCATTCTCTCCAGGCTTCACCAGCAGCTGTGCCTCTCTGGGCCTCCCCGGGGCTGCTGATCAGCCCCGCCTCTTTGATCAGGCCCAGAGATAGGCCTAGAGATGCTGACTGGCATAGAAACTGACCAATCAGAACCTAATCTGGGTGAACTATGAAGGGAGAACCTAAGATGGGGGCTGAGGAGAGGTTTTGAGGTGTAAGGTATAAGAAGGCGGTTCAATTTTTTAATGACCACTTTGGCAGTATAGTGCATATGGCTGGCTATAAGTGTTTTTGTCTGCCAACAGCATCTCCCCCTGCTGAAAAAGGCTCCCCCGCCCCATTTAACCAATCCTATCCTATATAATCTATCCATACTGATAAAAGGGTAACATGCTAATTAGACCGGGTCAACTGGCCATCTTCCAGATGTCCGACTTCCTTTGGGAGAAAGCTATGGTGGTGGGGGTCGAGGCAGATACAGTTAGGGACGATCAGGCTGGCAGAGGATAGCAGTTGGAGATGAGATCAGGCCAGCAGGGGCAGGCAGTTGGGGGAAACCAGGTAGGAAGGGGAGGGCACTTGGGGGCAAAATCAGACCGGCGGGATAGGGCAGTTAGGGGTTATCAGGCAGGCAGAGGCAGTTGGGGTCGAGATCAGGCCGGCAGGGGAGGAAAGTTAGGGGCGATCAGGCAGGCAGAGGCAGTTACGGGCAATAAGGCTGGCAGGGGAGGGCAATTAGGGGCAATCAGGCATGCAGGCAGAGGCAGCTAGGGGAGATCAGGCAGTCAGGCAGGTGAGTGGTTAGAAGCCAGCAGTCCCAGATTGCGAGAGGGATGTTCGACCGCCAGTTTAGGCCTGATCCCTGTGGTGGTTGGACATCTCCCACGGGGTCCCACAGGTTCTGGGCTCGATCCCCAGTGGGAAGTGTGCAGGAGGTGGCTGATGGATGTTTCTCTCTCATCAATGTTTCTGACTATCCCTCTCTCTTCCTCTCTGTAAAAAATCAATAAAATATATTTTTAAAAAAGATATATGAAGTTGGATAGATAATAGATACATTATAGATAGATAGATAGATAGATAGATAGGTAGATAGATGATAGATAACGAATAAAAGAATAGGCTCTTCATTTCATTCACAGATTTGTAGAACATATGCCATATTCAGTTCTTACTTATCTGATTCTTATTAGTATCCTAACAGTTAGTGGATTTATGAATATACTGCATCTCTTACTTGGAATTAAATTCTATAAGTTGTACAAATTTTCAACTAAACTAGTAATGTATTGCTATGAAGCAAAAATGCTGAAGATATGCCCATTTTTAAAGATGTCAAAACTGAAAGATTCCAAAGCTATGACCACTAACTACAAAAATAGTTCATTGAGCATCTGGGAACAGAGAAGCAGAGGTAAAGTAATTTATTCTTAAATAGAGTGATTATGCTTTCTTTTCTGACCTTCTCACTTTTCAACATATATTTCCACTAGGCTACAAATATGCTTCACACTGAGATTACAAAAGATCAGTTCTACACTGCTTTTCTTGGTTTCCATTCAACTAATCTCATTTTTTGTTGCTGTTGCTCATTCTCTCATCTGCTTTTTATTCCTATTTAAGCCTTGTTTTTATTTATTATTTCACCCTTTACTTCTGTGTTCTCTGTGCTTTGCCTCTCCACCTGTAATTGCAAAGCATTGTAAATAGGCATATATATAAATATACCTATATTTCTGTTTGTATCTACATCAAATGTATTATTAATTAGTCCAG